TCTCTCTCAAAAAAATAAACATTAAAAAATAAATAAATAAAAATTTAAAAAATTAAAAAAGGAACAAAGCACTGATATGTGCCACAACGTGGATGAACTTGGAGGACATTATGGCGACTGAAATAAGCCAGAGGCAAACGGACAAATACTGCATGATCCGACTCATAGGAGATCCCTAGAGGGGTCGAACTCACAGAGACAGAAAGTAGAATGGTGGGAGCCAGGGGCTGGGGGAGAGGGAGAAAGAGTTACTGTTTAATGGGGACAGTTTCAGTTTGGGAAGACGAGAAAGTTCTGGAGAGGGATGGCGGTGATGGTTGAACAATAATGCGAACGGGCTTACTGCCACTGAACTGGACACTTACAAACGGTTAAATGACAAACTACGTAGTGTGGATTTCACCCGTAGTTGGTCCAGCCATAGCCCTCCGGTCTGGGGGGGGAGCCAAGTGGGCCCCGGGGATCTCCCCCCGCTCTGCCCATTCCTGCTCCAGGGCTCAGCTCAGCAGCTACTACCTCCCCAGCCCTCTCGGGCCCTGTGTGTCCCTGATGCCTTCATGTCCGTCTCCCCCACTGAACTGGGAGCTCCCTAAGGGCTTGGTGGAGTCGGACCTGGTCACCACCGAGTACCCAGCCCCCGGCCAGGCAGAAGTTATGGTGACACACTCCATTTCCAAGTGTGTCAGCCCCTTCTGGGGAAGCTAGGGAAGCAATGCCCGCACCCTGCCTCCCTCCAGGCCCAGCTGTGGCTCACACTCACCTTTCCCACTCCTCCTCGGCCTCCTCGGCAGTGAGCGTGCGATGCCGGGCCAGCGGCGTGAAGTTATACCAGTTGTGCACAGGGAAGGCCTCAAAGGCCCCATCGGGGCACTGGGTGAAGATATAGTAGGATGTGTTCTCTGTCACACCTCCCTTCTTGATGCCCTTGAACCTGCAGGGAGGCAACGTCACAGCCTGACCCTCACGACCAGCCCCCTGGCCTGCCCTCTCTCCAGAACCACCTGGGTTCTCTGAGCAAACTCCAAGCCTGAGAGATCTTGGGCCGGCCCTTCAACTGTGTGAGCCTCGATTTCGGCACCTGGAAAGACGGGCAGCACTCCCCACCTCACGGAGCGAGCTCGGGGCTCCCCTCGTGGTACATATCACGGTCCTTTCTGGAAGGACCGTGTTAGGCGAGCTGTGAAGCAGGGGTGCCGCAGTCACACCCCTCCGGATTTGCCTCCAGGTTTCTCCTCATGCCCGAACCAGTGCCAGCCTCCTCCTGGCCTCTGCCCTCACCCGTCCCTGCCCTAAAAGTCTGGGAAGTCTTATAGAGTGCCTTTCCCTGCCCACGGCCTTCGAGGCTCCCCTGGGCCCCGGCCCACCCATGCTCCAGCTGCATCCTGGCATCCACCATCCTGCGCTGTGCACCCGCCCTCTGTCACTGTCACACCGTGGAGCTCTGCACACCATTCCCTGCTTTCGTGCACACTGTTCTTCCTGGAGCCCCCTCCATCCACCTGACCTCCCAACCCTCACGACCCCCGGTCCCCAGGCGGCTGCTCGCTGCGTGTGGTCAGGACAGGCTCTCGGGCTTCCTGTACGTACCCTGGTCCCTAAGGGCTCCTGCACCAGCACCAGCCTGGTTCATCTTCAGAAAGAAAACCCCACGAGGGACGCGGGAGTTCAGGGAGGGACGCCCAGCCGAGTCAGGACGCGAGGGGGTCGCGGGAGGCACTCGCCGCTGCCACCACTTACTTTCTGCCCGACTTGCCGTTGACGCGAAGCAGCCAGGGCTGGTCCTCGGGCCGGAACTCCTTGAGGACGATGCCGTACTTCTTCCTCCGAGCCTCCTCGCGAAGCTTGCGGTTGAACTCGCTGCCCGCACCAGACTCGGGCATCTCCTCCTCCTGGTAAATCTTCTTGTTGCTCAGGTCTCGCTCCAGCCGGGCCTGGAGTGACGGAGCAGGCGTGAGGGCAGGCAACAAACCTTCCGTCAGGGCTGCCTGCCTTCGCTCGAGCTGTGCCCGCCGCCCCCCACCCTGCAAGAACACCCGAACGCCCTCTTCACCCCACCTCCCAGGCTGAGCTGCCGACTTGCAAAGCCAACCTCCTGCTTAGCGAAACAAAAAAGGGGTAGAATGCTGGCCTTCGGTGGTGCATCTGGGTGATGGCATGTGGGCAACCCTCGTACCAGGTCTACTTGGCAGCTTTGGAAAGTTTGAAATTCTTTCTAAATCAACATTTAAAGAAATAAATCAACAAACAAACAAACAGTGAGATCATTTTGGGGATAGGACAAAAACAAAAAACAAGGAACTGGCCCGCGCTCTGCATTCAGGCACCGTTAAAGGCTGTTTTCCAAATTTTGATCTTTAAAATGCACGTGCCTTGGGGCGCCTGGGTGGCGCAGTCGGTTAAGCGTCCGACTTCAGCCAGGTCACGATCTCGCGGTCCGTGAGTTCGAGCCCCGCGTCGGGCTCTGGGCTGATGGCTCGGAGCCTGGAGCCTGTTTCCGATTCTGTGTCTCCCTCTCTCTCTGCCCCTCCCCCGTTCATGCTCTGTCTCTCTCTATCCCAAAAAAAAATAAATAAAACGTTGAAAAAAAATTTTTTTAAATGCACGTGCCGCTCACCCTAGAGGTCCCTCCTCCAGACAGCGGAGGTGAAATGACATGCGCAGTGCTGTTTAGCACACCACTCTGTTGCAGCAGAAGACTGGAAGTCAACCTAACGCACATCAGCGGTGCGCTGGCTTGATGCACGGGGCCTCCTCCACACAATGGAAGACAGAGTGGCCAGAAAAGAAAAAGGGGGCGACTGTAGGGAACAAGTCCCAAGGCACAGTGACTGAAAAAGGCAAGATGACCCACACTGCTTCCTACTGACAAGAGATTTCAGACAGCTGGTAACAAAAAGATCCTACCAGCTCCCAGGAAGAAGGGGGAAAAGTCCCTGGCCCAGGGGCGGGCCACGTTTTTAGAAACAAAGTCTTACTGGCATACAGCCACGCCCACTCGATATATCCTTGTGCCTTTACTGCGCAAGTGCGGACACGCAGCGTTGAGGGGCTGCCGCACAGACACCGGCCAACCAAGGGCAACATAATTACTGGTCCTTTAAGAAAAAGCCTACTGACCCCTGATACAAAGGACAAGAGGGAGAATGGCAGAAGCTCTCCACAGCCAACACCAGAAGCCAGAAAACACTGGAACAAAACCCTCACAACTTGAGAGAAAATGGTTACCAGGCTAGCTTATGATACCCAGTCGAGCTACCCAGCCCGAGGCTGGAATCTGGACACTCACAGGGGTGCGAGGAAATTGGTGTGCACCCCACACCTTTTTGGGGAGCCGGCCCAGGACGTGCCTCACTACAAAAGGAAGGTAAACAAGCCTGATTCCCCAAACACGGTCACCCCAGAGGGCAGGGCCCCTGCCTGGCGTGTTCACCTTTAGCCCAGCGGAGGGTCTCCAGGGACAGTTGCTAAAAGAATGCATTTGGAGGGGGTTTCTGCCACACGTTGCCCTGGGTGAGCAGCGGCTACCGGAGGAGGGGGATGTCCCCTGTGGTTTTAAGTGCTTAGATGGCTGTCCCCGCCCCCTCCCTTGAGTGACTAGTGACAGGGGGGTGTCAACCCAGCAAATTAGTTTTCTCCAGGGAACGTAATCCCCCTCGTTGGTTTTTTAGGGAGTGTGCCATTTAGGCAATGAAAATTCAAGGGGCTGCATTTCCCTGTGACTAGGTTTTTAGGGAGTGTAACCTCCATGTGGTGAAAGCAAGGAGTGATGAGTGACGTCCCCCCACGACGATCGGGGAACAGGGTATGTATAACCCCCAAGTTACGAGCGGCTGGGAGATCACGTGTCTCAAGAGGTGATAACTATGCAGGCTCTGCACCTCAAGGCGGTGGGTGACGAGGGGCATGGACCCTCCAAGGGGACGAGTGGCTGAGGTGCAGACTCCTCTCAGTTCTCATGGATGCCGGGACAGGGGATCTCCTATTGATGACGGATCAAGAGTGGTGGGTTCCCAAGGTGTTTACCAAGTCACTCCTCTTAGCGAGGAGTATTTGGGGGCAGGGTACCCGAAGGTGGCTTATTTCTCTCTCCTGGATGGTAAATGATGAAGAATGTCTCCCCACTGAGTGATGAGGGATTTGGAAACACTGCACCCTCTCTGGATAACTTAGGCAAGGCCAGAGGTGGGGGGAACATGCTAGTCTGTATACAAACATGTGGGCAGCTGGCCGTGCTGGCAGGCAGGCACCCTACAAGGGAAGAGGGCGCCTGGAGCAAGTATCCACCTGCCCAATATCCAGAGGAGCACGTTGTTATCGTGTCTCTCTCAAATAGTCTCATCTGCTCAGCTGGGTGAAGTGAAGTTTAAAAATAGACAAAAGAGGGGCGTCTGGGTGGCTTGGTCAGTTAAGCATGCGACTTCGGCTCCGGTCATATCTCACAGTTCGTGGGTTCAAGCCCCGCTTTGGGCTGCCTGCTGTCAGCACAAAGCTTGCTTTGGATCCTCTGTCTCCCCTGCTCTCCGCCCCTCCCCCACTCATACTCTGTCTCTCAAAAATAAACATTAAAAAAAAATTTTTTTTAATAGCCAAAAGAGGGGCGCCTGGGTGGCTCAGTTGGTTGTGTCTGAGTCTCGATTTTGGCTC